AAATTACACGGGAATCCTACGAACTGATATGTAATTTTCAGTTCTTACAAATAATCTAAAAATAGAAAATTACAATTGAACTAAAAAATAAAATACAACTGAAAAACGGAAAGATTTTTAGCCGAGGTGAGTAAAACTCTTTCCGCAAGAAGAATACGCCCCGTGTGGCAGCTAACGGTTCAGGCGTAACTTCCCCAAAGATACAACGACAAACGTCTCTAAATCTGTAGCACACCAGATTTACGAGCTCTGGCGAACGGGAACGAAATCGAGAATTGAGCACTTAGTAATAAAAGATATATTCTGAAATAAATAAAAATATCACTCGTTCCTTTTCTTTTGATATTTTTATATCCAGTATTTGGACATAAATATTTCTTTTCTTTTTCTTTCTTCTCTCTTTCTTTCTCTTCTTCTTTTCTTTCTTTCTGCCGTTTCTTTCTTTCTGTTTTGTCTATCTTTTATTTGCAGCAAAAGTGACATATATATATATAGCAGATGGACATCAATTTAGTTGATGTAAAGTAGATAAAAATTAGTCGTGTTGTTTAACAAACTATTGTGGTGGTGGTTGTGATGTTGTTAATCTACACTCACATTTTTCTAACAGGAAGGTGAAAGAATTTTTTTTGAAAAACCTAAAATTATGCCGGGATAATTTGGTCCAAAAGGGGCGAAAAATATTAATAAAGGGTTGTGTTTAGCAATTCACTATATAAAATGGGACAAATTTATATATATCGTGAAATTAGTGTAAAAACAGCTGGAACTTTACCATATTATGATAACCAAACAACAATAAATATTATGAATTAGTGAAACAAAATGGGTAAACGAGGAAATGAGAATAGCTGTAAATGATAGGGGGAATGTCCCAATAAAGGGGAAAATGTATCAAAAAAAAAAAAAAAAAAAGTTTTTTACCAAATCAAAATCCCACCAAATGCGTACAACAAAACTCCCGCAAAGACACATTCGTATGGACCATCCTTAATTTATGGCAATACGATTAATGCCTCCTTTAATGAAAAATTTCAAAATTATCATTATATTTTTAATTTATCATATTTTTAGTCCATAATAATATACAAATTACAAAAGTTTATCCACACAATCACAAGAAAGTTTGTTAATATACAAGTAATCACATTCACACTCACATTAGACAATAAAAAAAAAAAACAGAGAAAGGGATTGAAAAATAAATATTGATAATCAGTATCCAGAAATGTTATTTATTTATTTGATTGTGATGATAGTAAGGTTGAGTTGTAATGCAGATGGTTACGATCCGTTGGATCCAAATGGGAACATAACAATCAGATGGGACGTGTTGATAGACAATGGTGATGGCACACAAGATGTAACCAAATATTTTTTTTATTATTATTATGTTAATGTTTTTATTTTTTTATTTTTTTTTGTTAGCAAAAAGTTAGATTGAGGATGAAGTTTTAATGTGTAGGTGAGGCTATCAATCGTGAACAACCAGCTGTTCCGCCACGTGGAGCCTCCCGGGTGGCGGCTGAGCTGGGCGTGGGCCCACGATGAGGTCATCTGGGCCATAACCGGCGCGGAAACCACCGAGCAAGGCAACTGCTCGAGATTCAAAGGCTCGACGCTCCCACACTGCTGCGATAAGGAGCCGGTGATAATCGACCTACTGCCCGGGACACCTTACAACAAGCAGGTCGCCAACTGTTGCCGAGCTGGCGTCCTGTCGTCCGTTTTGCAGGATCCCGGGAGGCACGTGGCCGCCTTTCAGATGCACGTCGGTGGGTCTAAGGCAGTCAAGGTGCCCGAGAATTTCACGCTCGGGATCCCGGGCTATACTTGTGGCCCCGCCTTGAGAGTCGTGCCGACCAAGTTTAGCGAGGATCAAGGGCGCCGAACGACTCAGGCGCTCGGTAATAGTAGTTATGTATATTTATGTTTTGTAGTCTGAAGAAAAAAATGATTGGACTTTTTTACACTTGGTCGTGTTCGGTTTTGCTATGGATCCATCATATGACACGACTTATGGAACCATCCATCCACAATTATTTACAAATGTTTATTTTTACACGTGTCCTATAATAAATACACTTTGGACAAGTGTCACAGTATATCAAGTTAAAAATGACTCCATAAAATTTTTGTGGTTCGGTTGGCTAAATCGTCTTTTTGATTTACCTTTCATCATAATATGAATATGTTGGTGTTTTTTGGATTTTTGGTTCAGAGACGCATAACGTGACGTGTTCGTACTCACAATTCCGAGCTTCGGTTGCTCCTAGGTGTTGTGTTTCGTTGTCGGCTTTTTACAACACGACCATCGTCCAGTGCCCTCGATGTAGCTGTGCTTGCCAAGGACAACCTGGTTCATCATGTCTCAAGTATAATAAGTCCTGTTCTATTCTTTCTTTTTTCGTGTATAATCAAGCAAGTGTGATTCGTGTTTATGAATCATTATTGTTTCATGTTTGAAAATCGTAGGCCAGGAGAAATGCCTCCGGTTCTGCAGCTGCCGCATAACGAGCCACCAAAGCCGTTGGTGCAGTGTTCGATACATATGTGCCCGATTCAAGTCCACTGGCACATCAAGCAGAGTTACAAAGAGTACTGGCGGGTCAAAATCACCGTCAACAATCTAAATTTCGCCAAGAATTACAGCGACTGGAATATGGTGGTCTTGCACCCAAACCTCAAGAATGTGACGCAGGTTTTCAGCTTCAACTATAAGCCTCTCAACGTCTATGGCGACATCAGTAAGTACATTTACGCTGACTTTTTTCACCATATGATATGATGGTGAAAAAAATTGGCATTGGGGAGTAAGTAGGTTGTAAGATAGAATGAGATAGCTTTAATTTTTTTTTTTTTTCTTCAGATGACACAGGAATATTTTACGGGATTCAGTACTACAACGATGTGCTGCTGCAGTTAGGGAAAAATGGTAATGTGCAGTCTGAGATGTTGCTGAATAAAGATAGGAGGACTTTCAGTTTCAGACAAGGATGGGCTTTTCCTCGGAAGATATCTTTTAATGGGGAAGATTGTGTAATGCCGTCCCCTGATGATTATCCGAGGCTCCCGAATTCGGCTCGTTTTCATGCACAGGCAACAGCAGCTTCGGTTCTATTTCTGCTGCCATTCTTGCTGCTGCTAGTGGCTTGAAAGTGTTACTCCACTGTTGTTATTGTGTTGAATTGTTTGTTTGTTTCAGGCAGCTTTATATGATTATTGACCATGATAAGTAGTTACTCTTGTGGTGATTTTTGGATGATTTGCAGCTCAACGACTTTTGATGACTGTTAAAAATTATAAACCAAGCAGATCACAAGCATCAAATAAACTCATTAATGCCTGAAAAAAATTACGAAAAAAACACAACTTTCTCAGTAAAATAATAGAAACACCACCTACAGAGAGCCCCATGAAAAGGGAAGCAAAGGATTCATTCATCACACATCTTACAAAGGCGACTACATTTTTTTTTTTTTCAGATGACACACCTCAGGTGAGTCACTGGCCGGAATCACTACTAATTTACCGGCACAGATTTTGGACTACCAGGCGCACACGGCCCTAGGCGCTAAACATAAGAAGATTACAAACAGTCCCTTTCGGATAAAACTAGAGAGATTGGAAAAAATTAGACACGAAAGGAAAGGGAAGCCGAGCCATGCAAATGCGAGTCGACTCATTTTTCCCACAGGCAGGGCATCGTCATTATTGTTACACTACATGTGAAGTGGTTGACCAGAGACTGAATCACGACTGGCAGCAGTGGCTTCCTTGTTCTTCAGAGAGAGGTTCAAAAATTGCTGGTCGAGATCTCGGCTATTTGCACGTCGGTGTGCGGAACTCGTCTGGGGCTGATGTGGCGGCAGCTGTTGATGCTGCTGGTATAAGTTCCTTAGCCTTGATACTTCCCTCTCGAGTACTTCGTGCTCCACTGCACGAAATATCAAAATTTGAGATCCAAACAATCTCATGTATATTTACATTTTGACTAACTCGTAAAATTTTGAACGAGATTAAATTAAACAAGGATATTTTCATCAATCCAAACAGGAGATAAGGGAAAACTCATAGTCGGCGAAACAAAATGGCAATTATTACGCTCAATTTTGTAAAAGAACTGCTTGTAATATTTCCTTTCTCTATTTCTCACCACAACCAAAATCACCAGCCGCAAATCTAATATATATGAGCAAAAAGAAAACCATACAAAGGTTCAAAACACAATTTACTAAACACATTAACATACAATTTCGAGAAGCATGCAAAATAAGACGATTGGATATTTTGACTTACAATACTTGATAAGCTGCTCCTGAGCTAAACTCTCTAGCCGTTGCTTCAGGGCTTTGTTCTCCATGTTCAGAATGAGATTTTGCTGGTTGATGAATTCGAGTTCAGCAGAAGCTTCAGAACCGTCTGCCTGCAATAACACAAAACATGGTTATGTAAACAATAAGCAATGCATCAAGTCAGTCCATCTGGATTTAGTCAAAAAGGAAGGATATAATACTTGCCTGTAAGGCTTGCACATTTCTTTCAAGTTCAGCTATGTACTGGAGCTTCCGGACCCGTGAACGCTGAGCAAATTGCCTGCAAATAGAAAAAGTGTAAATATAATGCTATTTTCATTAATATGCTGGTGAAGAATAATTATGCTATAGCTTTCTTCATAACTTATAGCAGGTGAAATCACAACACGAGGATGTTGTAAAACAAGGCAGAAAGGATGGAAGCCTTATTAATACCAACTCAAGTTAACATTATTCCCTAAACAATGATATTCAAACAAAGCATATTCATGCATTTTTTTAACTGCACCATTGGCCTCATAATGTTCTCATGAACCAAAAACAAGCAAGTACTAGGGCCACTATTCAAACAAGTCCAAACAATGTATAAGACAAATAAAAGTTTCCGTACTGTTTGGCACGTTTATTGTCTGTCTCCGATGACTTCCCATGCATGGCCTCCTTTTTCTCAGCGGGCCCCTTTGGATCCTGGTGACCGGGCTCTACCGCTTCCTTCTTTTCAGGTGGAAGAGATACATTCTTCTTATCTGCATTCTGCAATGTGCTCAACAACCCCACATTCTGGATGACTGTACTATTGCCCTTAGGCGAAGGAATCCCGCGCGGAAGCCCAGATATACCGGGCGGGTCCCACAGCTTATTCCTAGTTCTGCCGAACTGATTTGAATTCACATAGAAACTATTCTGCTGCCTCGCGTCCCTGTAAATATCAAAGTCTTGAGACCCCCACTGGGACAATGGGGCTCCCATCACATTCTTGTACCTGTTAGGATCATCTCGAGCCATGTAATTCGTGCCTCCTGCATTAAACATATCCATATATGCGAACGAGTCGCTCGATGAGCGGCGGTGGCCTCCTTTTCGGACGGGGGTTTCGGGCTCGTCCAGAAGCTCGTCGAGCCAGGAAGGCTGCTCATCTATCAAGAAGCTTTCGGAGGAGGTACGCTGGTGGTGTGAATTTTGGTCTCTGTGCTTTGGAAGGGTTTTTGGACCGATTGTTGAAGTGGGGATGTATTCGGTGTAGGATGGAGATATGCTGGGAAATGGACTTTTAGGAGGGAGCAAGGAATTCTTCCCATTGTATAATGTGCTTCGAACGCTAGATGGTCCCTTGGAGTTCGCCATGGCTGAAGAAACAGCTTTCTAGTAACTTACATCAGCAATTTTGGCATTTGAAATTATTCATTACAGAAAAAAAAAAAAAAAAGGGTAAACAGACGGACAATGAAAGGGACAACAACAAGGAGAAGTACCATAAAGCGGTTCTCACATAAAAACCCACAAATTCAACTTTTATCTCAGAAAGCAATGGAAAGCTAAAGGTACCAACAGAAGATAACACAATAAGATTCAAACTCGTATAAAGAAAGATTCAGGTTATGATAAAGTGAGCATCCAGATAAACCAGATCGACAGTCAGTCCCGGTTTTCAACTATCTCCGTAAAAATTTGTCTATGTGTTGCCATTAAAACATACCAGCACATGCCTTTTTTCAAATGCCCCTAGGCCCTCAAACCCAGATAGATATGTCAACACACAAAATGACTGGCATTGTAAAGAATGATGATCTATCGCACTTTTTATAGGCAGCTGAAAGGGGATTAGCCAAGTTTCAACAAGTGAAATTGATTGAGACAACCAATGAGATTATATTTGAACAGAAGAGGGACTTCTCTATACAAGAGTTGCGAGTAAGCTTGCAACAGAGAACTATTTAAAAAGGTTTAAAGCGCACACAGTTTCACAGTCGCTAAGTCTAAAAACTTTCAAGCATATAACAAAGGACCAAAAGTTTTCCCACTAGAATAATGGTTACCAACATCATAAAATAAAAGCATAAGCACGCACACAAATTCTCTGTTTACCAGCTACTCTTCTTCTTCTTTTGAAAAGTTTCACTTTTTTCAATTGCCTTCCTCGTTTATATCGAGCTGCCTCTGTTCATGATAATTATACATCGCTGATGACGTCTAATGACAATGCAGCATGCATATATCTCTTTAATTCGTTCTGTCATTTTCCGTATAACTTTAAAATTTACCAAACAAAGATTCCTACAAATTACCAAGTGCATACAGGTCACCAATCCCCACGTGGTGCTGACACAAACCGTGTAACCACCAAAGACCTCTGATTGCTCTAAAGCTAAAGACATAATATAGCAAAATACAGCAAAAAATATATATAAGATGAGCTGTTTTCACGTGTAAGATTCATATAATCAATTAGATTCACAGAAAAAGAAAAATTGGTTTGTCAATATTCTGTTAACAGCCTATCGATTGAAAATAGGAAACATTAAATGATCCGCTAACGAATTTAGCATGTACAATACCATGAGATGACCGAAGACCAGGATCCTTTCTTTTGTGGTTACTTCAGTGACTTATTTCATCAGGCAAGTCATAGTAAATGTAGTAATACTGAAAGGTAAGAGTAATTTCTTCGCCCATCCTTTATAACATCTTTGAGCCATTTCAAGCCAGACTTAAGCCACCACCACCAATATACAAAACCAAAACAGTTGTCATCATTTTTCTTTTTTTATTTTTTCACATTTTAAAGCTGCTTTTGGCCCCAGATTATTCATTTAACTTAAACCCAAAATTAAGGTATCAATTTCTCATACAAAAAAAGGCAAAAAAGAAAAGACAAAAGGTACAAAAAGAAAGGACACGTGCGCCTGGTGAGGGGAGGTGAGAAAACTCATTTTCATTCTGTCACAGAAAATTTCAGCAAAAATGCAGATGCTTCAGAAATTTCTAGATATATATTATTCATTAATTTTTAAATTTTTTTCTCCACTCAATCACTTCTGAGATCCACAAAGAAAAGGAAAGAAAGATAATCAAATCAGCAATAACCATCACATTGTTTCCCACAACTTCTGCAAAACTCTAATTTATATCAAATAACTATTGTACTATTTCTGTACAATAACCTTCAGCCTTCTCATTGCCTATTCATCTCATATCCCATAATAATGTCAATTTATTTCTACCAATACCAAAATCTTTTCCGTCGCCATTCTTTAGCGAAAAGAAAATAAAAACCCAGAAAGAATGGATAACAAATAGCACGCTTAAGCTGCAAGATTGCTCGACTCGTACTCTTTCAATATTTCATTGTATATCACCTAATAAAAACAAGCATCTAACACGACATTCACCTAAAACGCATGAGCTAGTAAAACCGTCCATTACTGAAGAAAAATTAAAAAAATAAACTCATAGCTTTTAGCAATGTACCGTATTCACTAACAGATCAGTTCATGGCAAACATAGTAGCTGCAAAACAAATAATTTGAGTTCCGGAAACTATTACTCTGCAAGCACCGCCTTTTGATTGACATTAAAGTAGATAAAGATGCTATAGAAATAAATCGACCACCAAATCTTCAAAACGAGCCCATGGTTGCGAATCAAATAATCACACACATAACCCCCTCACTAAGTTAGCTCGAAATTTTCCTGTAACAATTTCTGAAAAAGGCTTTTACCAACTTGCCCCAAAGATTAAAATTTCTGGGAATAAAAATAATCCCTCAGAATATCTCCATAATTTTAAGCTGAAAACAGTTTTTTCCATCAAACCACGAGCAAAGACAACTTCAAGCTCCAATCAATTACTGCAAAAAATCAAGCTTTTTTTTTTTTTCAGAACCCCATATATGAAGATCAAGATTACATCAAACTCAAAAGCAAAACAATCCCATAAGGCCATAACAATCAAACTTGGGCATGCCCATCTAATCACAAACAGGAGATACAGTTCGAGAAAAACAATAGACGAACACCAACCTTCGGTAAATCCCAGAAAAAACGGGATCTTGGCAATGTGATGTAGGACAAATCCGGAGCAAGAAATCCCCAAAGCTCGACAAGAATCGCTGGTTTAGGGCTTCTTCATCTGGCCCTTTCCGCCCTTCGTTGTATCTCTGTCTCTTTGTACACCACTTGCTCACATAAAAACGTTGTGGTTCTTGGATTGGAGAGTTTTACTTGACAACAAATGTGATGTGTTTGTGTTTTTTAATCCCAAAATTTTAAGGGGTGATTTGGAGATAAATTATACGTTAAAAAAGAAGGCATCAAAATTCAAATGTAACTTGATTTTAACTAAATTCCACCCTACTCCATATATCAGTTCTTACTAATTTAACTAGCTATCACTTTCAATCATTTTTCTCCAACTTTATATTAAATTAATTTTATTTATTTTATTATAAAATATTATTTTAATATATCAACTAACGACTAAACATACCACATTTTTCAAAATTAACTATAATTAAAAAAAATCAAATTCATATCAACACCCTTATTAACAGTTTTACATAAAACCAATCAAGATTCCCAAGCCTCCTATTTCTATCACGCACGCATGAAACGTTTATTTATGTTATAATACAGGTGGTTGGTGGTTCAACCACTACCAATAATTGTATTAACATAATAGATGTGAATGACTATTCTGCCCTTGATATAATTGTATTATTACGATTGTACCATCAAAAGTTCTCCTACAAATAGGAGATTCAGTTATAATGAAAAATCAATCAAGTGAATACATTTTCTTTATTCTCTCTAGTTCTATAACATTTTCTCTATTTTCTCTAGTTTTATAGCACGTTATCAGCACGAGTCTCTGCCCTCTAGAGCTTGATTTGTAATACGAAGAGAGTATGCTCTACAGTTGCGTTTTATAGACGATCTTCTGTATCAGAAATCATAATATTTACACGAGCATAATGCGACTATCCACGAGCATAATAATAATATCCGAGGAAGAGGTCGATGATATTATACACAACCACCTCGTGGTGGTCGTGGTCGCGGACGTGATCGAGGTCGTAATCATGTTTGGACTCGAGGTGTAGGACGAGGTAATGGTGTTGAGGAACATACAGGGCGAAGAGAAAATCTTAACATAAATGCTCCACAATCTAATCAAGATAAGCAAGTTTGCTATAGATGTGGATGCAGTAGTCACTGGTCCCGTACATGTCGTACTCCACGGTACCTAGTCGAAGCCTATTAAAAAACACTCAAATATAAGAAAGGAAAGGCTCCTCAAGGTGAATCACATCATGCTAGTTTTCCTGAAGAAAATTTAGCAATAAATGATGATGATGATTTATTAAAGCTTGAGCTCGAGGAATATGGTGATAATGTGTAACTTCATATGCATTTTGTCTTAGTAACGAATATTTTTATTTCACGCTATTAGAAAATTATGGTTTGTTCTTGTTATAAACATGCTTTCATTTGTTATGTTTTATTAGGACTTTATCATTGCTATGTTTGCTTATAATATTTTACTTTTCTTTTAGTTTGCCATAAACATTCAATAATATTCTAGTCATGGAGAAAGAGAGTATTTTATGCCTGGTCGATAGTGCTACTACGCACACTATTTTGAAGATAAGAAATTTTTCCAAACTTTAAATGAAAAGAAAGGGAGTGTTATCACAATTGCTCATGATAAAATAAAGATAGTAGGCTCCGGCAGAGCTATTCTTACTCTTCCTAAGGGTACCAAATTAATAATTAACGATGCATTTTTGTACCCTGAATCACAAAGAACACTATTAGTTTTACAGATATTCGATCAAATGGTTTTCATCTTGAACTAAGACTGAAAATAATAGAGAATACCTTCTTATGACTCAATCACAAGGCAGTCAAAAGAAACTTGTAGAAGAACTTCCTTTTTTCTCCTCAGGCTTGTATTGTATTTACATTCAACCTTTATTTAATCTAATCATTTTGCAATGAGCTTAAAATTTAAAGACCCAAATTCATTTAAATTATGGCATGAGCGATTGCGTCATCCCGGGCTTAGTATGATGCGTCTGATTATTTCTAACTCTATTGGGCATAATGTATCAAGCAGCATGCTTCCTTATTCTAATGAATTTATTTGTGATACTTGTCCAAAGGGAAAATTAATATTAAGACCTTTGTTCTAAAGTTGGGACTGAATCTCCTATGTTTCTTCATATGATTCATGGTGATATATGTGGACCAATTCATCCCACATCTGGACTTTTTTGATATTTTATGGTATTGATAGATGCTTCCACTCAATGGTCATGTGTTTGTTTATTATCCACTAGAAATCA